TTTTTGTAGGGTGAGTGTGTATATACACAAACCCTGTTGTACTCTTGTGATTATAATAAGCAATACATTAATATACATGTCAATTACTTTTTCCCTCCCTCTCTCTCTCTCTCCCTCTCTCTCCTTTTGTTCATGTTCATATACAGAGTCGCTTACCATTTGTCCAGTGTCCGAGTTACGTCCCATTAGACACTGGGAGGTTGGTAAATACTTCAAATCATTTGCTGGCGACAGATATATTCCAAATAATGCCCTTCAAGAGAAGTATCCAAACACAACAGCAGTTCAGTGACCTTCGGCCAATTTATATAATAATTATTAATATTCATCAATTAATCCACAAATGTATTATATTAGACACACTTCATTTCAAATGCCATCTGCAATTATTATTATTATTATTATTATTATTATTATTATTATTATTATTATTATTATTATTATTATTATTATTGTTCTTGTTGCTTAATATTTAGTTATGTATATATTTTTCTCGTAAAAGTTTTAATTTTTCTTTCCATTTTAAAGCTCTCTCTTCCGATAATCTGCTGACCTCAGCATCACTGAGAACCGGTAACTACAAAAAGATAATTAAATTACTTTAATTAATCCCCACCGCCTACTTCGATTGTTTTTGTAATTAGAGACGGTACATGTGAAATTATTTCCATCCCCTCGTCGTCTCGTTTAGTTGCACCAAACATTGCATCGTCGTGTCGACCAATAGAAGTACCTTCGGAAACTTTATCTTCCTATAAAAATGGGCATGGCAGTAGGTGTGGTTAAAATGAAATTAAATATAAAAATACGTAGATATTCATACTATCAGTACTTGAATATTCTTGTCTTTTCTTTTTGACGTGAAGCTCTGTGGTTTAAACTCATTCTCTGTTTCCAGCTCAAGTACTTGTACCGGATTTGGTGGGGGCGTGGCTCCAGAGGGCGTGGTCTTGTCCAGGAGTACCTTTACTTTAGCTTTGAGCCTTTCGGCTGGTGTCTGATTACACAATAATTAATTAAATACTGTTAATTATTAATTACCATGTTTTTGTATTCATCATTGTCAACTTTTGCCTGTTTTTCTTTATTACTAACAATAATAAATATTTCTTATTATTAATAATTATTATGATTTAAAAAGGACGATAATTATTATAAATAATTAAATTACGTTTGATCAGTTGATGTGGTTTTCTTCACATTAAGAGGTGATCGTGATCTGTCTAATTAATTAATAAATACTGGTAGCATTACAATACAGTACCTACCTCTAAATAATAAAAATAGTAGGTGGCAATAATAATAAAAATTTAAAATAGTTACAATTTAAAGACTGATCACCCTCTATAGACTAAACTATAGAAAGCTTAAGTATATTAACCTACTCCTCATAGTTTAATACTTATCACTGCTTATATTACCTCTTGTGCTGTCTGTGTCTCTCTTTGTCTCTTTTATCTTCTCTTGATCTTTTGCTCATTTTACACAGCAATTTTATTTATTAATTTTTATGAAATTAATTTTGATGACGTAGCCGGAAGTAATTCAAACCGGACGTGACGTCATCGTCATTTCTTTTACTAACTATTCATAACTAAGGGCATTAATTAGGAATTATGCTGAAACAGTGCTTAGGTGAAAACAAGAGGTATTTTGAAACTCTCACTCTCTCTCTTTACTTCTCTCTT